CTCCCCCCGGCGCTCCCGGGGCCGCCATGACGTGCTTTCGGGTCTCGGGAGCCGCGGCGAGGGGCGCGGCGGAGCCCCCGGCGGGGCGCGGCGGAGTCCGGGCGCACTGCGGCTGTGGACAGCGGTCCCGCAGCGGCCCGGCCCCGCGCCGCCCGGGGAGTGCCGCGGGAGCGAGCCTCCGGCTTCGGGGCTCCGCTCAGCCTACCTCCGGAGAAACCTCCAAACCGCTTTTATTTGCCCGTATTTCATCCCTCCCGCATCTTCCTTCAAAACCAAGTCCGGTCCCTATCCTGTGCCGATTTCCACCATCCTTTTCACTGCTGTTTCTGTTGGAGGAGCGAGCTCGAAATTAATCACAGCATCAAGATGAGATAGCACCGCTGATTTATCAATAATATTCCCACACTTATAGCAGCACACTCTGCAGCCCTCTTAGCACAGCGTAACAACTTCCTCTGGAGGCATTAAAAATGCTTCAGTACCTACACACAAATAAAATAGGAGATTTCACAACTGGATGGTGCTCAGGTGTAGCAGGCTGTTATGTGATATTGTTTGTTTCTTCACCAGAAATTATTTTAAGACCCTCTCAGTCATGTTATACTACCAATTTGTGGTAGATTTCCCCTTCTGAAAGCGTAGCTAGCATTAATTAGCAAGACTTAATGTAAGTGGATCCAGGAGAGTACACAATCTAATGAACGAATATGAAACATATAAAACAATCATTCAGCTCTAAGCCAACCGTCAGATTTTGCAAGATGCCGAGCACTGTTGACTCCTAGGGAGTTCTGCTATGGATATGAAAACACTCAGCATATCTGCCAGTTTCCAATATGAGATGTATCAGCAGACCAAGATGCAAATACTCAACAGTTCTCAAGACTTGGTCAAATTAAAATGTGCGTGCTTTGCAAACAAGACCGGGCAGCCATCAATACTCCCCAAACATTCCAAAGTATTTGTTAATTATACAAATATTTGCTCTAGAAAAGCAGCCCTGGCAGGCTGGTTAGCAAACGGTGGGAAAACACCACTGTCCTCCTGCAGGCTTAGCTCTATTTAAGATCTATAGCTTTCTTCGGGGATCACAACCAGGTTGTTGGACTGCAAAAGTCTCATCTGTTGACCTGCAGGCAGACAGGGCCAAGGGGTTGCATTACACTTCCTGTGCTTCCTTGAACATCAGCCTTTGGCACGAACTTTACCAGAACATCAATAGGTTCCTTCCACAGGATTCTTTTGGAAAGGTTAAAGACCACAAAAGCCCAGCTCAGTCAAATGAAAGGCTGGATTTCAGGGTTGCTTCCAGGCTGTCTTAGTAGGATTATCTGATCCGTGGAGTTTCCTATGATGTTACAGATCAGAGCCATACTGGAAACTGTGAGTTCATCTTGTTTCACTGGGCTGTTTGTTTTATCTAAGAGCCTGAATGGTTTCTGATCTTTGAAAGAAGTTACATAAAGAGAGGCAAATCTCACCTTGCATGGTTCTGGGCATAGAATATACCACAGCCACAGAGTTGAGGCAACTCCCTAAGGCTCAGCTAACCAAATGAAACCAGAGAGCAGCAGACCTCAGGTAAACCGGGCTCACTTCTGCCCCAAGCTTAGCTACCAGCTCACCTGAACCTGGGCAAAGCAGGCAGGAAACTATCATATCAGTATTTCACAGCCAAATTTCAGGTAAGTGGCTGTGCAAGGCACAGGAAAATCAGACTTCTCCACTGCCTGTAACATACCATCACTGGGACATTTAAAAAGTTAATTTATTTGAAAGTCTTCTTTGTTGCTGGGCACTTACACTCTTTCTCTTCTGCAAGGTTTATGCTTTCATTTTTCATTGGTAAGACATGATAAGTACATAATTTCACTTGGAGGATGGCACTGTTCACATAATAATTCACCTGTTTTTTGTCACGATTTTTATTCTTTTTGTTTTGATAGCACATTACTCTAACTCAGTTGTACGCATTTACTATTTGTAGGGCTGTTAACAAGTTTGAAGTTTGCAATGCTCTACTTATGGCTAAAATCCAAATGTTATAGACATTATGGCAACAAATGTCTCCTGTGGCAGCCTGGAGCTCCACTGGCTTAGGTCATGCTGGTGTCTACCATACACTGTTGGTAGACACTGTGGGCCAGTCAAGAAGTATCTTAGCCTCTCATACTGCTGTTACTGTCCTCATTCTCCTCCTCTCCCAATAACCTGCGTAACTACAGCACTCAGGATTCTTCTACTCAATGTTTAACTTCGTCTTCCCAGAGAAGCTTTCAAAGGCACCATGAACAAGAAGCACTCAGCTAGCACTGGATTTAGATTGGGAATAGGGCATTTAACTGCTTTGCTGGCTTTCGGACTTCATTTGCCCAATGTGTGTCAGGTGTAGCTTGTTAGGGCTCATGTAGGTTGATAGGGCTGTGCTTGACCCTGATCTCACAGCATTTTACTTCCATCTGACTCTGATTACTCTTGTCGCCCTTGCAGGTGTAAATGAAACCAGAGATCCAAGCTAGGCCCCTGCTTTTCTCTATGTGTAAAAACATCAGCCACATACCACAGCTTATTTAATAAAGAATAGTGTGCCTAAGGACCGTATTCCAAGGGCCCTAGAAGTGAGAGCTGTGCTTGGCAGCACGCTTGCTACTTTCTGTAACTCAGACCATGGTGCAACCTCCCCACCTCCCTGTGCCTTAACATGTTTGCTCTAGATTGCATTTAATTTAATTTGTAGTAGGCATCTTACAGTATAAGCAATGCAAAGCTGATGTACTTGGTAACTTCAAGTTGAGTTTGTGGCTTTTTATTTCCCTACAACATCCCTCTAGTGTTCAAGAGAGAACGGAGCAGAATCTGGTGAACTTTTGGGCTAAAGACAGCTTACAAATTTGGAGAAGAAAATCTCAGAGCTTAAAAACTAGAGAAAGCAGACCTTTGCTTCTGATACGGAGCAAGGACAATTCATGTGAATCTAGCAAGGTCAGAAGAAAAATCTGGGATGGGCTAGTTGGAATTTGCTCAGGCAGGCTTCTGTGTGAAGAAGGCTTATGGAGCTGCTTGTGTTGCTGTCAGTTACCCTTAAGTTTAGATTAAGAATGATGTTCAGTTATTTTCTTTAAAAGATAAACATGTAAATGAAGATGCTAACAAGTTGTCATGCTGCCTTTAAGTTTGTGGATTTTAACTTCTTTTTGGCATAGAAAAGTTTGAGACAAAAATGGATTCACTTAGTTGTGTCTGCTATAATCTTTGACTTTAATCCTATTAACAAATGTGATTAACCAACATGAAAAAGGTGTACAGTTGGTATTTTTCCAGTTCAGACATTTTCCTATTTAGTGTACTCATTAAGAGGACATTTATTAACTTAAGTGCTTGCCTTACCATAGAGGGCAATCACTGTTGTGCTTAGCAACCCTAAAGGAAATGGAGTGAGGACTTGTACTTGTGTAGCCAATTTCATAACAGGCTCCAGATCATGCCAAAAGGAATCAATCTGCCAGGAGCCAAATACGTGCTTGAATATTAGCTAGAAACCTAAACTGCCCACAGTCTGTCCAGCAACAGACCATCCTTTCCTCTAATTTATTTGAAGTGATTTGTTGAATATTCTTCACAAACAATTATTAGCCTGTTTGTGAGGAGCTAGGTTTATTTGAATGCATTGTTAGTTTTTTCTGGCTACTGCCTAACAACTTTCTAATCTGTTTCATTTTCCAACTAAAAAAACATGTCAAACACACTTTTCCAACACAAATAATAGCTATTTTGGAAGTGACATTTGCTGTCCTGCTCTCACTTTGAAATATGCATTTACAGTGTGCTGTCTGGTGACCAGCCACCAGTGTTGTTTGCATGCTGTCTGTATTTACAGCCATCATCCACTCAAAACAAATTCACATTCTTGTCGTTGACATACACTTTATGTTCATCGTTGACTACGCTTCTTTTTTTTAAGTTCACATACACTTCTTAATCCATAATATACACCTAGATGTAAGGATGATGTCTTCCAAATATTCCCTGTTCCTAAACAGAGCAGTTGTTCAGGTATGATGCCTTGAATTCATAGAACAAGGCAAGAGGAAAGAAAGAATAAAGCCTGGCTAGAGGTGTTCACCAGGCCTCACTGAACAGAGACTGCTGTTGTCATTGCTATTCCTGAGTGCTTTTTCTTCAAATTTGATCAGACAAACAGCACTACAGATAGCAGTCAAATCGGAGTTGTTCTTAAATGCTGCAGATTGTACATCTGCCCATACAGCCTGCAGTTCTTAGACGTGGATGTGAAGTCCTGGTGAGAATATCTTCCTTGTGTTTATTTTAACCTTCTGTTTATAACTGCTGTAAGCACTACAAGAGGAGACAGCGCTGATTAATTTTATTTCCAAATCTCTTAAAATATTAACTGTTTCCAACGCTTACTGAGAAACTCTCCAGGATTTGTGTACAAGAACGGCCACAAGATTCCCACCCAGCTCCTTCAGCTGATGGGCTCCACACTTTTGCCTCTGTACAGGTGCAGCTAAGCTAGAATGCCCCCTTTTGGACCAGGTGGTTCAGAAACAGCCCGTCATGTGGCAACTGATTTGTTTTGCAAATCCATATAGTACCTGCAATGTTTGCCTTTAAAAGCAGTGACCTATAATTTATACAGTGATCAGACTATTTATGTATACAGGGTGTTAGTTGTGGGAACATGGGAGAAACTAGAGGGGAGTCAAACAGTAAAATATTTCAAATGCCTGTTTATCTTCTTAAAGTGTGTCATTCTCTGAAAATGGCAGCAGGCTCTAACAGTTTTGTCTGGTAGAAGCTGCTCTTCACTGCTGCTCCTGACAATTCCACCA